GGGGGTTAATGCACTGGACTGCAGGGTCGGTTTGAACTGCGAGGTTGGAGGCTCAGGCTCACCAGTCGCTCCTTGGGAATCCTATACGGAGTCACTGAGTCAGAACCAATTTGACGGCACTTAACAACAACTTAACAAGTTCTCGGTTAACCTGAGGAGGCAGGGCTGATCAGTAGCAAAGATCCATGAAGTTAGCATAGAGGCTTAAAAACGTTTCATGTAAATTCATACCCATACCTGCTGCCGTTGAGTGGTTTCTGACTCACAGTGACCCTAAAGGACAGAGCAGAACTGTCCCCACAGGGTGTCCAAGGCTGTAAATCTTTAAGAAGCAGACTGCCACAGCTTTCCCCTGCTGACCCTGAGGTTCACAGCCAGGTGTTTTCATCATTGTGCCATCAGAGCTCCTTTAAGCCAACATGGAGCAGTGATTCCTGACCCCTAGTTCATCTAGATCACGGGTAGGGAACGTCCAGCCCATGGTCCATACAAGGCCCACGAAATCCTTTAATGTGGCCCTGCCAAGGCAAACCCAACTCCAGCCATGACCCTGGTGGTGGTGGTTATGTGTCGTAGAGTTGATTCCAACTCATAGCAACCCTGCGTAGGGTTTCTGAGGCTGTAAATCTTCATGGGAACAGAAAGCTTCATCTTTCTTCTGTGTAACTACGGGTAGTTTCGAACCACTGACCTTAAGGTTAGCGGCCCAACTGACAGCCACTACGGTACCAGAAGTTAGTTGGTTAAATGTCTGACCAAATATAGCAGGCTAATTTTTAAGTTGATAATTTTGTATAGTCCACAAATGATGTTACAAACTTTGGCAGTTTGTAACAAACACTGGACTGTGAACCACTAGGTCAGCAGTTCAAACCCACCAGCTGTTCCTTGGAAATCCAATGCAGGGTGGCTATGAGTCAGAACCGACTCGACAGCACTGTTAAGTTAAACAACAACAACAATCTAGATGAAGAGAACTCCCCAAATTCCTTCCATACCACTTTATCCCTGACTTGCCCAGAGTCTGAACCCTGTCGGCCTCACATGTCCTTTCTCTGGTGCAGGGCCTCCCAAGCAGAACTCAGTGAAGCCCTGTTGGAAAGGACACATCTCCCAGGTGTCAACAACGATGTGCCTACCCACTTCAATTTATCTCTGAAATCAAACCAACTTGGAGCCAAAAAGACATTCACTGCAATCCACGTGGTTCACCCAGAACATCTGACACGGTTAACAAGAAACAAAGTGACTTGAGATGTCTTGGCTCCCCTCTGTTTATGAGTTGCTGAAATAGTCCAAAAACAGCACGTGATAAATAATTGACAGCCCAAAGCTACGCTTCTCTCGCAGTTTGGCTGCGATGACCGAGGTGGGAAGTATCATTTCTCTTCTCCTCATGAGGAAGCCGGCTCTCTGCTGGCTGTGTTTCCACAGACTGAATGCCTCAATGCTGTCAGCCCTGTCAGCCCATCTCCTTCCCCAGAAATACCAACCTCGGGGATCAGATGTTACCCACACTCACTGTTACCTGTTACCCATCTGGTTCACTTAAAACAGCAGCTGGTGAGACAAGCAGTCAATATCAATAAATGCCCTTCCTCACAGACTCTGCTAGCGTAAGAATCAGCAACCAAGTGAGGGAGGCCAACTTCTCCACCAACTTCCGATTCAATTGGCGTCTGACCTGAATCGGACCTACTTTCAATCCGGGGTCATCATCACTGGAAATGACAGTTAACCATGTATGTCCTGCCCACCAGCTGCTCCTCAGAAACCCTGGACAGGGTCACTCTGAGTCACACCAACTTGACGACACTTCCCAACAGCAAAAGGTTGCCTCCTACTTCATGAGACGCTTCCCTCATGATCTTCCCCACAGCTCCACGAGGCAAGTGGCCTTAGCCCTATTTTATACACAAAGAAACTAGAAGGGCTGGTTGTAAGTCTTCTGGATGGAAGGTGTTCGCTGCCCCTCATGTGAGCACCTGCCATGGGAGAGACCCTCATTATCCCTTGTGTTTCTGCCTATCATGGGACAGACCCTCACTGTGCTTCATGTGAGTATCTGCGTGGGAGAGAGCCTCACTGTCTGTCCCTTATGTGAGTGTCTGCCATAGGAGAGAGCCTCACTGTCCGTCCTGTGAGTGCCTACCGTGGGAGAGACCTTTGCTGCCCCTCATGTGAACACCTGCTGTGGACGATCTAACCCAACAGTCCTCAGAGGCTCAGTCCTGGCTCTAAAAGCAAGCTCTCTGATTTCACTCAACAAGAAGTTTTTGCAGCCTTAGCATGCTTGCTGCTGCCACCCAGAGGGAGGAGAGAAATGTGGGTGTCATACAAGTCACATCATACCAGGGAGTCACAGGGCTGTGGTGGAGGTGTTAAAAATCGGGGCTGCAACCAGGGATCCCTTCCTCCAATGAGGAAACACGGAGGAGGAAGAAAAGGAGAGAGGAGGAAAGGGTGAGGAAGGGGCTAGAGAAGGTGACATAACAGGGGAGGAGGAGACTGAAGGGGAGAAGGAGGAAAAGGAGGGGCAGGGACAGGAAGAGGAGGGAGAGGAAAGAGACAAGAAACAATGCTGGGTAACATCTTGTGTACATGAGACATAAGGACATGTTTGATGAGAAAACACCAAACCAGCAGAGGCTGGGAAACCATCTTCTGGCAGGCACTCCCTCAAAGAGAGACGCGGGAAGGGCAAGGGTCCAGTCAAGCCCCTCTACGCAGTCCCCAGCACTCTGAGACAGATGCTTAGGTTAGCCAGGTTGGCAGTCACTCCCATAAGAGATGTGAGAGCTTTAAAATAATAATGTTAATTATTTTAACTCAGTAAGTCCTCAGGGCAGGGGGAAATTCAGTAAGTACAAGAAGATATTCATAGCTTTAAGCACATTTCTAAAGAAAGAGATGCGCTTTATTAATTCCCATCTCTTATTGACAGACTGTTTCTTGATACATTTTCCTAACACTGAAAATGGGTCAAACTTTGTCCATCAGATCCCCCCAGATACTTATAAGAAAAGGGAAGAAAACAAAAGAGAAGCGAGAAAGCGAGGGAGCAAATACACCAGAGGAAGGGACTACAAAGTAAGAGCCACCTCTGTCCCCACTTGTTCCACAGAGACACTGGCTGGAGGGGCCCCTCACAAACAACCTCTGCCAGGTGGCAGGTCCATAAGCACCCATTGGTTTCTCTCCTGTCACTCATGCTTTCTGGTCACCAAATCAGTCCACACCTCCGCCTGCCCAACAGTAAGCTCTTGCCACTGTGGTATAATCCCAGTCTTTAGAACACTCCATCTAGCAGGGGCCCTGGAGAGTCCCTGGTCTGAGACCATCACGGGGGTCTTCAGGACCCAGAGAGGAGAGTGAGAGGACAAGAAGTGAGGAGCCAAGGCTTAAAGTTTGGAAGTTATTTAAGGTTACGTCAATGGGCATTTGCATGAGCGTGGGTTAAAATAAAGTGAGAAATGTGTCAGTAAGCAATTCCCAGCATGTAATCCATCTAGTGTAAAGCTCTCATCATCATTATTTTTTTTTTTGAGTTGGATTCCAGTGGGCGGCCAATGTTCCAAGGGAGGTCAAAGCCCAGTAGCCTTGCTTCCTGCTCCCCAATGGGTAGACTTCAAAGATGAAAGAAGTAAACCAATCTCAAACAGGAGGCATTGTTTGGCACTTCAGAGTCCACAGCCTCACAGGTTAGATGGAGGGCGACCAAGGTATGGGACTACTCTGTGAGGACTACCAATCATTGTGAAAAGGTCAGAATACAGATCACCAGAAAAATAGCCCACGTTCCCTCCCTACCCCACCTTTTCATAACAGCAAAGAAAATAGGATTCACATCTCAGCTGAGGGGACATGCATCATCGCTCAGACAACCTCTCTCTGAGGCAGGTAATATCAAAACAGGAGCATCTTTGTGCCAAAGCCATCAAGCCATTCCAAACCTTGGGGAGGTCACTGCAGCGTCTCATGGGGTGTGCCAACAGAACCAATAACCTTTGGAGTCGAGCAGGCCTTTGCCCACAAACAGTTTAATAGGATTTGAAAAATAGGCATTTATTCTAAACAAAAGAACAATAAATGCATGTGGCTCTGGGCCACCAGACAGGTGAAATCCCATTTCCAGGAGCTACGCCCCAAGGTTTGATGCTCTTAAAAAGGAAGAGGGAAATGAACGCCTTTGTTCATTTTCCAAAGGCTGGGACTGATGTCCCATCTGCCTTTCAAAGCGCTCTTTGACTATTCTAGAGGGTGGGGACCAGGCGTCTAGGGGTCTCCCGTGCAAAGCCTAGGAGGGGCTCCAGAGGAACCAGATACCTACTGTTGGTCTTCATGCACATCTATCCTGCAGCACAACGTCAAAACAAGGGACAACTGAGATTTGGAACAGAATCATCATGTTTCTCCCAAGAGCAACACAACAAAGAAAACAAGTATTAGTGACTCAGCCGTATTAGAGAGCTATCCCCGACACTCCGGTCTTAAGCCTTTCTTAATCTCTTTCCAAAGGCAACTCAAGTAGAAAATGTTCTTGGGTGACATTAGAGCCACACTCACTGTCATAAACACAGTCTGAGATTTGGCAAGTTCAATTCTCTGAACTGATCAGTCACAGAAAGGGAGGTGGCCCTGGGTGTTAGTTTCCGACTCATGCACTTTCCTCCCTCCAGCCCGTTGCGACAGGGCCGTTGCGTGGAGGAAGGACATCACTAAAGCTCAGCTCCCATCAGATTTACCCCACCTGGTCTTGGTCTTGGTCCACCAACCCTGTGAGTCATACTTACAGAAGCCCCCTCCTCCCTGCCTCCCACCTTCAGGTCTCCAGGTGGACCAGAGACAAAAAAGAGCATGTGTTCATTGTTTAAAAAATTCCAATTCTTGCTCACATTCAAAATTGTTTGATTACTATACTAACTACCCTAGAGATCTCATTATAAAAGCTCTCTACTTTCCTTCTTTGGGAAGTGGATTAAAAAATGAAGAAAGCTTACCCATTTTTGAAATAGAGGACATGGGCTCTCTGAAGTCCTGTTTCTAGGAAAAAACCTAGTTCTTGATCGTGGGGAGCAGGGCCAGGCTTAGGGCTTCTGTTTTGAATATTAGTAAGTATGACCTAGAAGGGGAGAAAATCGGACAGCTAAGCAAATGCACATCCACACCCACTCCCTTGAAGTCCTATCTCTCATTGTACCACAGACTTGAAACTTCCATGTCCTACTGCAGACATCAGGGCAGGGGCACCAGTGTAAGTATGAGAAAAGCAGAAATAGGGACTCCAAGCAGACAGGGAATTACCAAGAGACCCAGGGGCAGCGTGGCCCTCTTGACAGCAGAGTTGTGGTAGGGAGGGTGCTGACAGGCCAGAGATACCGGGAAAAGCAGTAGAGGTGGATGGCTCTGCTGACCGCCAGGAAGCAGCAGATGCCAGCAGAGGGTAGACCTAGTCATGGCCCCCCAGTGGTGGCTTCCACCCTTACATTACTGAGTTTGGTGTGCTCCTCCAGCAGCTGAGAAATGTCGGGATCAGCGAGAGCTGGCCTGGGAAGGAATCTCACCAGACTACACAGCAACTGTTCCCACGGGGAGGGCTGAGAAACACAATCTCTGCGCCCACTCCAGGAGCCCTGGTGGCACAGAGGGTATGAACCATCGGTGGTGAACCAAAAGGTCGATGGTTCGGACCCAGTGGCAGCTCTGTGGGAGAATGATATGGCCATGTGCACCCCCATACAGATTATAGCCTTGGAAACCCTTGGAGCAGTTCTGCTCTGTCCTAATCAACTCCATCCACAGCACTGGGGTGATTTCCTTCTCTCCCCAGACTTGGAATTTGGCTCAATGGTTTTAAAAGTTTAAATTTTTAGTCTTAAAAAAATCTGACAACTCATCAGGAGAAAAAGTTCCAAGTTGAATGTGTTATGTTGTTAAGTGTTGTCAAGTTGGTTCTGACTCATCATGACCTGGTATAGGGTTTCAGAGGAGCAGCTGGTGGGTTTGAACTACCGACCTTGTGGTTAGAAATCCAGTGCTTATCCTATAACGCCACACCAGACTTCTCAATGTGGTATGTTGTTAAGTTACGTCGAGTTGGTTTCAACTCATGGCCACCCTGTACAGGGTTTCCGAGGCTTTAAATCTTCATGGGAAAAGCCTCATCTTTCTCCTATGGAGTTGCTGACAGGCTTGAACCACAGACCTAGTGGTTCGCAGTTCAGTGCTTATTGTAGAGCACCACAATACTCCTGAGTGTGTTATTGTTGTTGTTATTAAGTGCCATCAAGTCAGTTCTGACTCACAGTGACCCTGTATAGGGTTTACAAAGAGCAGCTGGTGAGTTTGAACCGCCAACCTTGTGGTTCAAACCAACTTTGTGGCCCAATGCTTTATCCCACAGCACCACACCAGGACCCCAAGTGTGTTACTGTTGTTGTTAAGTGCCCTCGAGTCAATTCCGAGGAGTACAGGGGTTCCGAGGAGTGGCTGGTGAGTTTGAACAGCTGACCTTGCAGTTCAAACACTGACCTTGAGGTCGAGTGTTTATCCTGGGGCACCACAGCCAAGTACAAATACAAATCTCTATTACAGAAGTTACTCTCTTAAACTCACAAGTCAAATAAAGCATCTGTCAAACAGAAACCTACTTCTGACTCATCTAAAAGCCATGCAAGTGTCTCTAGATGTGTTATCTATGCTTGCTGAAAGTCAGCAGTCCTACAAAATACCCACTGATTAACCAAACCCCAAATTTTATAGACATCTTGAAATCAGTCTCCAAACGGAGCTGGAGCAGTTAATTGCTAGTTCTCTGACCTATGAGTAAAGGGAAACAGAAAAGTAGAAAGTACACAATGGACAAGAGGCTGAGAAATGAAATTCAGGTGGGCCCCCTTGATTGAACCACAGCCCATCAGCTTTATAAAAACACCTGGCTCTTGTCTGCACCATTCATTCTCCAGGTGCTCCTCCAACCTCAGGTACCTCTCTCTGCCTTTCCCCTCCACTTCAGGCTCCTTCCCCATCCATCCTCGAAGGGGTGCAAATGCACAAACCAAGCGTCTGGACACTTTCTTCTCAAGTCTCTCTCTAGACCATCTCAGGCATTCTATGAGACTTCAAAATTCATCCATATACTGGAAATCCCCAAATTTCTATCTCCAGCCCAGACGTTTCCTCTAAATGCCAGACTCATCTCTCCAACTGTTTGTGGGGGGTTTCTTTTCTTTTTTTTTTTTTTTTTGACATCTCTGTGTGGTAACCTACACTAAACCTTTCAAACGTTACCCTTCATTTGCCTTGTTGTTAGGTGCCATAGAGCCAGGTGTAACTCATAGCGGCCCTGTGTACAACAAAACAAAACACTGCCTGTCTAGTACATTGTACACAGAACCAGTTAACACAACAGCCTCACAATTGTTATTACACTTGAGCCTGTTACTGCTTCTACTGTGCCAGTCCACCTTGTCGAGGGTCTTCCTCTTTTTTGCTGCCCCTCCACTTTACCAAGCATGATGTCTTTAATCCAGGGACTGGTCCCTCCTGATAATATGTCCAAAGTATTAGAGACAGTGCCTGGCTCCTAAGGAGCATTCTGGCTGTACTTCTTCTAACACAGATTGGTTTGTTCTTCTGGCAGTCCATGGGACTTTTGATATTCTTCTCCAACATCATAACGCAAATACATCAATTCTAATATGGTCTTCCTTATTCACTGTCCAACTTTCACATGCATATACGACTACTGAAAATGCCATGGCTTGGGTCAGGCACATGTTAGTCCTCAAACTGACGTCTTTGCTCTTGAACACTTTGAAGAAGTCTTGTGCAGCAGAATTGCCTAATATAATACATCATTTGATTTCTTGACTGCTGCTTCCATGAATGTTAATAGTGGATCCAAGCAAAATGAAGTTTCTGATAACTTGAATCCTTTCTCCATTTATCATGAGGTTATTTATTGGTCTAGTAGTAAGGATTTTTGTTTTCTTTGCACTAAGGTGTAACCCATACTGAAGGCTGTGGTCTCTGATCTTCATCAGTAAGTACTGTAAATCCTCTTTGCTTTCAGCAGGCAGGGCTATACCATTTGCTTAGAAAGTAATTTTTTATTTTTAAAATGCCAGGATTATTTTAAAGGTAAAACAATTCAATAAAGTACAACAAAAAATAAATTTAAATCATCCCAAAATTTCAACACACAGAAAGAACCAGTTAACACAAGAGTCCAGCTATGTCTATGTAAATATGTACCAAGGAAAGACAAAAATCATTTTATAAGAATTAAGATTAAACATGCACGCTTTAAATTTAAACTATATTTAATTTTAGCTAAATTTTTAACAGAAGAAATTAAAATGTAATCAAAATAATCACTCAACTTTAGAAAAGTGTGTGTGGGGGTTGTATATAATTCATAAAAGTATCTCTAAAGTTAAAAATGTATTATACATTGCTGTTGGTGCTAAGTGCCGTCAAGTCGGTTCCGACCCACAGCGACCCTGTACAGGGTTTCCGAGGAGTGGCTGATGAGCTTGACCCACCGACCTTACAGTTTAAACTGACTTTGCAGTCCAGCACATCAAAGCGCCACACTAGGACTC